TTTTGTGGCTCAAGGTATGTAAAAAATAACTGCGTTGTAGGTGAATCATTTACGATGAATGTGAAGGGGCATTGTTGAGTGTTTCCGTGAATCGAATGCCCCTAGGATGAATATTGCTTCTTGATATCAGCTTATTTTACAAAAACGGCTAAATAGATGAGCAAGAGTCTGTGGGTGTAAGTAACTAAGTGTAGCTCACCAGTTCTTTTACCATTCCATGTCTTTGAAAAAAGGGCTGATATGTTCATATTTGTCCAAATTATTGATCAATTTACAACGTGAATTGTTAGGTAGGAAGGAGAACTGGGAACAAAAGATTCTCATTTTATTGGAGAGGAAGAATCGCAGTATAATCGAAAAAGAGAATTTATATACTAGTATATTTTTGTGTTATACATCTACATCACGATAAACCATGTCGATTTTTTTGTCTGCCAGTCGGTCTGTTCGCTAATCTTTGGCCCATCTATAACTTAGAAAGCACTACTCGGATTTTAATGTAATTTTCACGCAAGAATACTATGGTGCCAAGAACAAAAAATTTTTTTTTAAATCGGTTCATTGGCTAAATGCAAAAGAAAAAAGATAATTGCCTAGTCGTTTCTTAACGATTCAGAGACTCCTGATCTTGGAGAAATGTTATACGCAGACGCGTCTCTGGATACAATACGAGCGTCGTGGTCTGGTCAATGGGTCGCAGTCGGTAGAAGCTCCCGTACTGCCGTGGATCATCATCCACGCGAGGTTAGTCATAGCAACGTGGATATGCTCTCGCATAAATTTTTCTCAGGGTGGAAGGAGATGAACCGTCGGGAAGATATAACGTTCTATGGAATGCTTTTTGAAGAGCGGGGGTTCAAAATTTTACCGGATGGTGCCAAATCCCTAAAATCCTCAAAATTGTACACAAAAGTATACTAAATGCAGATTTTAATTGTATGGCCACATTTACGGTACCGAATTACTGACACGTTTTTTCGCACTATAAATGTAAAAAGATTCGATGTAATGGGTCAGAGGTAATATGAAATTGGCTTTAACTGCAGTCAAAAGCGGTAATATGAAAGTTTCTTCGGCAGTCAGAACTAACGAGTACGCATACCTACTTTAATAGGTTCATGCTTTTTTCTAGTTTGTAATATTATTGATTCTGGTTTATGAAATAATAAAATAATCTTGTTTTCTTTTGACAATATTGTTGATTTTCTATTAGTGTATGTGTAGCATTTTAAGTTCAGTTAAGCAAAACTCCCGTTTGTTTCTAATTGTTACTTATATTATTCTTGAATTAAATTTATTTGTTAAATCAGTGTTCTTTGTTGTACTGGATGTTGCCCGAATATCTTTTAAATACATTCTCTCTTAAGACCGGATATGGGTGTTTATTTCAGTTTATTCAGTTGTTATCCAGAAAAATATATTCATACAGTAAACATGGGTATATTTACCTACCCCGTCAGAAATATGTACTTTTTTGAGCTGTTGAAAATACTTTTTATCATTTTAATGTCTTTATATTGTTTTGCCTTTATTATAAAGTATTATAGCCACTCTTCATGGGTAGCTGCTATGCTTTTTTATCTTTGATATTATAAAAAAGGGTAAGAAACCTTAAGGTGGCCATATTCGACCTAGGTACCTTACATGATAGTATACAACCTTTCTATTTGCACCCTTGCGTAGGAACTAAAGTCAACCTTCTTGACGCCATTTTTTTCTTAAATGCTCGACGCTTTGTTTGGTATCCTTTTCCACCAAAAATTATCATTTTTGTATTGTTTGTGCTCCTTTTGTGATATAAATTGCTATTGATACTCAATATTTCAAACCATCCTTGATATCAAGCCCAACGATGGCAAAGTTAAAAAAAATCATTAGAATTAGCTGTCTTATTGTTGGATTATGGAATTTTACAGCGATTTTGAAAAGTATTACTGCAATGGCAACTTTGTATGGGAACAAAAATATAAGGAAACCATTTTAAATAATGGTATGCTAATTTTCAGTATTAGACATATGGCTGGCTTTCAAAACTACAAAGCTCAAAGGCATTTACCTTCAAGCTTGCAAAAATTAGAATATGCTGTAGGTGGTCACAAATGCACGGAATTCATGAATGGATAGCGTGAAAGTATTCCAGACGAAAATAGAGAAAAGGTGGATTCTTTAAACTCGTTTTTACATTCATTTGTACAAAATTAAGCCATCAGAGGAGATTTTGCCGTCCCAAGACAGACATGCGCTTTTTTGTAGGCTAATTTGAGATGCCATTCAAGTAAGAGAGAGCTTCGAGAACTTGTGCTGAGAAGTGAGTGGATATTTAGGGTTATTTAGTGTGTTAGAAATTATGGAAAATTACGGTAGTTCAATAACAAGTAAAATGCTAGAGAATCTCCCACGCCCTCCTGGAAGATTGATGCGTGGGCAGTAGATCAAACTTAAATTGACATGCTAAAAAAACTGGTTCATTAGGTAAAATCACATATTATGTCATGTCATTGCATTGTGTGCGTCATTCAATGCGTTTATGAGGATGGTCCATAAATTATTTGGCCTGTAACTCATGCTTAGCCCTGCGCTCTTGATTGAATCAAAATTCAAACAAAAAACATTTTACTATTCTTGTTTTTTAAATGAATCCAAAAAACTGGCCCCATATTCCAGAGTATTTATTGACATAACCAAACTTTATGTAAACTATCAGAATTTAACTAAACATAACAGAGGGAAATAAGGTTAAGGTAAAAATGAAAAAACAATAAAACTAAACGAGAATGAATTGAAAATCATTTATTTACATATTGCATCAACTGATTAAACAATTTAACAAATATCCAAATATTTACAAAAAACTAAATATATAAATAATACGTCGAAATTATAAAACTATATGTACAACTAAAGTAAAATATAAAACAAATCTATCCGATTTTCAGTGGTAATCATATACTTCAAGAATGCAAGCAATTAATTGCAATTCGTTTAAAAAATAGATAAGTATAATTATCTACACTTTGGTATGTCTAGAATAGGAATTACTCCACGGTTATTTTTAACTGTTTGAAGCGTGTATTCAACAATGCTATTAAACGTGTTATAATATTCGAGATGCAGTGGAAAATTTCAAATATGATTTATAATGATGATTCAATCCTGTCTTGAATCAATATTAATATTTCAACAGTATTTTATGATACTGCACTATTATACATAAGTTGTTACACCCGAAAATATCCTCAACATCAGCTGAAAATCTAAGAAATGCGCCAGGTTAACCATAGAATATATTCAGAAAGGTAACAATAGAATATAAAATCACAATTGCTAAGTATCATTGTATACTAGATTGAAAACATTGACAAGGTATAGGACACGGATGCAAAATAAGCGAGTTAAGCAAAGATGTCGACCTGAAAATCATGATGAATATTTGCAGAAAAGCACGTTTAATTTATAATTATATAGTCAGTAAAACTTATGGGGGTGTCCAAGGACTGAAGTTCGTCTCTAAATCAGACAAAGCTCATATTGATTTTTCTTGAATCCTGCCACAAACTCAAGCAAGGAACGGCGGACTTCGAGCATTTAACACAGATTTTCTGCGTATCATTTGAGGTCTATCCATACTTGCTATTGGTATTTAACAAGCAATAACAAAACCTAGCATGAAAATGGAGTTTTTAGATTTTAGGTTACTAATCTCGCGAATCAAGGACAATTCGTTATCGTCTTACTTACTATCAAAGGAGCGTCATTTCAATTACGTACAATCTGTATCACGAAGAATTTCAACTATACAAAGTTCAGGAGCTATCACGCTTTCCAACTCCTAACTCAACCACAGCATGTTATCTTAAAATATGTTTTTTGAGACATTATCGAGTTTAGTTGGTTTAAATTGAAACCATCAATTCGTATTAGGTGTTACGTCATCTTGAGTTAAACAGTATTTGCATCACGAATAACAGATCTGTCAGAAAAATACAGGACGCTTAACTCACAGAAAACAACTATTTGAAAATAAGTAACTCAAAATATATTCTTGTTTAATTTTGTTTTCTTTCAGTGTACAATCATACTTTCAAATAACGTTTGTTAATCGCACAATTTTCCACATCTTCCCTTTTCATGGAAATAACATATGGTAGTACTTATAAGCTTCACTTTCCGATAGGTCCCAGGTAAAAAAGGCTTTTAATACTGCTTCACGGAGGCAAAAATTAGTTAGCAACTGTGAAACTTGGGAAGGTGCAGTTGTAAAAAATAGTCCGGGGAAATCGCAGGACTTCTGAGATTAAGGCTGAAGAACGAGGATTGCAAAATCTTCAGACCCGGTTTATTCATCAACGTATGGACGAAGTATGAATAAGCTTCTTGATAAAAATAAGAATTTAAATCCAATTCAAGATTCAAATCCTCATTGTACTCGTACTTAATTTAAATTTTGCTTGATACTTTTTGTAATAAAAATGGTTGTGAGTTCTAGATTTAAATAAATTGATGTTCGATGTTTTTCGCAAAGGACTCTCCTACTTATTTTTGAACGGGTCAAGTAAGCAAATTAAAATATGGGGTGATGAAATTGAAGCAATACTAAATTTTAGCATAAAGAAGTCATAAGGAGCTTCAAAATGAGATAGCAGACAATCCCTTATTTAATTTAAAAAAAAATTAAAAAGGGATAACTGCTTCTTTTATAGAGCTCACTAAATTGAACCGTACAAACTAGGGGGGGAAGCACTGTATATAACCCAAGATGACGGAATACCAATAAAGTGTTGATGGCTCTAAGCTTTTCATTGTATCCTAACAGAGGAAAAAGTTTTACCCTGTTCATAGGATAAACATACTGAACTAAAAGGCAGAGTCTAGTAGCTCCCTTATCAATATCACCATAACCTATTCACAACCGTTTCTCAAAACAACTTCATGTACTGCCTTTGCAACGGCGAGGGGCCTACACCAGCCGCAGCTGAGTGGTGCAGATGGTGATGGCGTACCTCAAGGTCCTGTTCCGCAGCCGCTGCGGCGGAAGTCCGATGGTGGTCTGGAGGTCTGTATCCGCGTTGCTTATCCTCGAACTCCTTCAAACGCTGGTTGTATCGGTCGATTTGCTCCCTGAGGAGGGCGTCTTCCTGTGCAGCGCGTTCCTCGTTGTATTCCAGACAGCCGACGCCATCCAGCCGTTCCAGGTCTAGCCAGCCACGCCATCGGACGCATACACCGTTCATTATAAACGAGGATTTGATGTGCACCTGGAAAAAAGAAAAAATGGTGTCAATCACCCAGCACTGTCATATAATAAAAATTGAATCGAAACTTGCAAAATATACATTTGAAATTTTTGAGAAAAAGTACAATTCGCGTTTTTGACCACCCTGTATGAGCAGAAATGAAAATTCGAAAATGTAACAAATAATATAAAAGCTGAGCTGTGTAAGTTTTTTTTGATACAAAATTCAGCATTCCAAATTTCTAAATGGCGGATTGAGGGGTTGCCGAAGTGGACGGTTTTTCTGGACAAAACACCTTACATCTCAGTAGCTAATTACCAAAACCACATAGTATGTCATATCAATATTCTTCTTTTGAATTGGTTTGTCCAAATGTGCATTAAAATTTGAGGCATTCTATTTAAAAAATCACAACTTTGATATGTAGATCAAAATTGGGACGCCCTGTATAATTGCCAATATTTTAGAAATGTGCCCTCAAATGTCATGTATAACATGCTATAAATAGATTTTTCCTAAATGTATTTGTTTATGAGTAATATTCCGTCCACACATGGATGGGCCACCCTGTATGGTATAACAGGTGCGTAACATCACCGGGGTCTGAATCTTAATAAAATCAGTTTTCAATCTCAATATTTTAAAGACGTACAAATCAGATCGGTAGGAAACCAGAAATTTTACCTTTACCAAATCCAAATATGTTTCAGACCACGATACTTCAGAGTACATATATTCTCTTCCTGCCTCAATACTGTGGGTAATGGGCAAAATACAGCATCGGCCTAGCAATAGCCGTCTATAACATTTTAAACAGTGTCCATAAACTGAGGTACCCGATATACCGCTCTCAATATAACAATAACGTTTTATTTTTTAATGACCCCTAACAGAAAAGGCAACAATTTACAGTCACTTTATGGGCCCGTAGCAGAAAATTGGACATAAACCATCCAGGTCGGACAGATATTGTTGTTCTGTGTCACGATTATTAACCTTTTACTGTGCCGTCGTTCAAGTTAATGGTTCAAATTTCCCGTAAATAAAGGGCTCGGGTACCGAAAACAAATTTTAATTTCGGTTACCTGTCCAATACCAGAAGAACTCCTGTCAGCTCAGACATTGATGTGAGGTGGACGTACGAGTACCGTATCATTTTTACGATGTCCGTATTCGGTTAATTGAATTTTGGTTTGGACATGGAACATTCAATTTTTTTCTATATTCATGTTGCTTACAATGTACAATGCAAATGTAAATCGACGTAAAGCACAGAATCTAATGTCGTTTTGTTATTTTAATAATAATAGTAATAATAATGATCTGCTTTATTCAAGCTGTACATTCAATACATAAAAAAGAGTTGCAAATGGTGGGGAAGCTTAGTAACATGCTACTCTTACACTTAACCTCCCATTCAAAAAAAAAGTTGTTAGGTAGCAGATATCAAACAAAAAAAATTACGCAAAAGTTTACTATACAGGGTGACCGCAAAGTTGAGGTTTTCCCACGACGTATAGATCTTAGTAGCACATACACCAATGTCTAAAGAGAACCGAGATGTTGGGCTCCGCAAAACCTAATCAACCTGAAACAAACCGAATCCGGTCCTGTCCTATCCCTCGATCACGTCCACAACGCCAGCGCCAGCGTACAGTTATACGACATACGACTGCGATGTGAATACGGATTTTACGACAGAGCCGTACTTGGAATTTCAATTCAACTGAACAGTGGGTACTATTTCATTTATTTTTTTTACTTGTTCGCTTACGTTTCACCACACATTAGCTTTGTTATATCAAGCGTAGTTGCGTCTGAAAAGGAAACCCCGAACTATGCACAAAGAAATAACAGAAAAAGAAATTAGCAACAAAGACAAGAGCAACATGTTTCAATTATGGATCTAAGCTGATTTGAAATTTAAAAGATGTTTAGGGACCCGTTTTTAAATTCAGAACTCATAGCATTGTATAAAACTACAGCACTGTACGTGAAAGAACGCTTAAATAACGCTGTGAAACAGAGTGATTATAATACATATTTGGAAATCTAAAATCAGCTAGCTGACTTTTAACTTACGATCTGAAAAATAATGGACTGGATTTACTAGGATTTGTTGACAGGTTGTGACTTTTTGATTATCGTGGTTTATTATTGATGCCTGCGTCTTTTCTATATCGTATCTAAAGAGCTAGACGAACTTGCTTAATATATGTGTAACGTAATCTGCAATAATACGTGGTTGCCAGATGTTCCAATTTTCCCCAATATGGGGAAACGTCGTGCAATTGTTTTCGCTTCAGACTGTACGCAGACATTTGTTAGGAAATGAAATGCGATGATGAGACTAACGGCTGATCGTGCGACGTTTTCGGCGCGTTTGAAAGCGCATCATAAACACAGTTTCGAGCCATGGCGTGTCGTTTACGAATCCTCGTAAAATCATTTTACGATGCAGCAGGCGCCTAGATCTCGTGGTTACCGTTAATTTTTCTTTTGTTTATCCGGAGTTTTATTGGCTGCTTTGATCCCAGCACGCGGATATTTAGTCTTTTGTCTCGCGCAGTCTCGGCTCCCGCCGTTCCCATCCTAAGCACACTCGGATGCGATACATACTAAACGCAACCGTAAAGAAAGCCTTAAATAAACAACGTAAACACAAAAATATATGTTAATGCCTACACTCCAAGAAAAAATGATGGAGTATTTCTAGATCATTGGACGAGCCATCGATTCCAAAGTAGCTGCACTATGCGGAAAGTGAACTTCAGGCTTAACACAGGTGCTCCTTTTGCTCTGGTTCTGACTTAATTCCTGTTTTATTGTCCTGAAGAGACTCGCAGAAAAGCTCCAGTTCTTTCGCGTATCGTCTAGATATCTTTTGAATCTGGTAAAATAAGCTCCTCACTGTGTTCAAGCCCCATATAAGATCTAACCTTGAGTTGTGTTCACATGTTTGGAGGGCTGACCGCTCGATGACACTCCTCTAACGGACAGTCGCGGGACCCTCTCGCACCGACGGGTGGTCGGCGTTCTTGTTCTCTTCTAGTACTATGTCAGCGAACTTCGCTCCTCAGAGCTCTCGTTCATGATGCCGCCGCGCGTTGGGCCTACCAGACGAACCCGCTGGGCTTCTGCCACCCATCAAAATTCTGTCAAACTTCGTACATCGAGACCTGACCGGTACGATCGCTCCCTTGTTCCCATGGAGTCGAGATTGTGGAACAATCTGCCCGAGAAGGGTTTTTCTGGTTCTACTATCCAGGTAGTTCCAAATTCAACATAACAAGGCATATTTAAGTTCCTGCTAGTAGTCGCGGAGTGCTGGTATATTTTTTTGCCTACCCGGCTGCTTCAGTATAAAACGAACATTTACATGTACAATTGTCTTAAAGCACTGACATCAATGGTGTTCATGTTGGTAAAGGAATTACCAGTCCGCGACTGGTTTCTGAAAAAAATAGTATCGGTATCTTAAAGGCAAATTGATTCTACTTTAAAAAAACGATACTTAGTTTTGCAACAACCAGTGGCATACAGTTTATCTATAAATAATCAAGTTTAAACAAGAACAAAGAATTTTTATATGAACTTTTTTCATATCAAATTGTTTACCAACATACTGTATAAATTGGAAACAGTATAATATAATAATATAAATGACCTAAATGGGTACTCAGTACGCCCATGCTGTCAGTTTTAAATTTTATTTATTTTATGTTTTGGTAGATAGAATCTATATGAGGAAAAATTGCAAATGTCGTTCCTCAAATTGCTAAAAATAGCATATTTTGCAACGTCAAATTTTGTGCTACATAATTTTCGGCTTTGATTTTTTTCTTTGATTGCTATTATCAATTTCATTACGGAGGAGGAATAATAAAAAGTTCCTGAGGCTGTTCTTAATTGAGTTAACGTTTAACCGCCTTTTTTCAATCCAATAACTGCAAGTAAAGATATAAGTACAAATAAAGCACACACGATTTTTCTCATAATTCTGATATCGCCCTCGGTATCAAATGTTGTGGCCAACCTAATCCGGTGTTGTGAGCGTATATCTCATTTCGGTGGTTTTCCGCTTCCCGTCTGCGTTTTCATGTTTAAAATTAATATTGGCTTGATAGGATATCGCATGTCACATCAAGTATGAAATGTGTTATAAAAATTCCCATCCAGGTGTGTGCATATGCATATTGTAATGAGAAACTTATACGTCTCATGTTACATCAGAAGTGGGGTTTATAATAACGTGGCTAATATCCAGATACGAGGTGCTCAAGAATCATCAATTTCAGCACATAGGCCAGCAGTGTGTTCTTTAAATTGACTTTTTAGCAAAAGCTGTCATGGTCGTAAGCCTTTCCAAACTTTATATTTCACCATTGATTATCGTAATCTTCTTAAATATAGCCATCCATATACTGAATTACCCAAAAAGCATCTGGGAAATACTAGCGCCATCTAGGAGACAGTAGCAGAACAAAACACTGTAACTCTTTTCAGAGTCGGCCTCTAAATTAATTTTTGTATTCTACAACTACAACTCTTGGCGGTATCTTTCAGATCCCTTTTTGGTATGCTGGAAATCCAGCACGCTGTTGGTCATGCTTGATTTTTCCAAGGCATTCGATACGGTCAATCATGAGATTCTTTCAAGTAAGCTAGAGAATTCTGGCATGTCAGAAGTTACTTTGCATTCCTTGAGATAATAATAATAATAATAATAATAATAATAATAATAATAATAATAATAATAATAATGAACGTCTTTTATTTGTAATATTCTTACAGGAGGCGAGATTTAGATAATATATCTATTCTACCATCTAACCCCCTTAACAATACGAGATGTAAAAAAACAGAATTTGTTGAAAATTAATACCTGTATACAATAAAGATAGAATAAAGTATAATCTAAGTAAAGGCATAAGGAAAATTTGAGGCCACTTATGGGTTACAAAAGATTTCGCTGCTGATCAAGTACCTAGAACTTCTTTCACCTTTTTCTTGAATTTGGGTT